GCGTGCTTGTGTGTCCGGGGCGGGAGATTCATGTGATTGGTTGTTGGTCGAGTTTCAGACACGCCCACCGGCAAGCTTCAATGCACGCCGCCGTGTGGACGCTGCGTAAGAAAGCAGATCATACAATTCAGTGTCTCATTGCATCCTGTGACCCTGACAATCTTACAATGAGTGCAGCTTTTGTTACATTTAAATAATCACCTTAAAGGTCTCCTATTATGCAAAATCCACTTTTTCATGTCTTTTATACATAAACATGTGTCCCCTCTGTGTAGAGAGTCTGAAGTTTCAAGAAAAAAGATTCGCTCACGTCCTGATCCATTTATATAAAAACCTGTCAGAAAATTAGCTGATCAGATTTTGGCCAATTTATGATGTCATAACGATTTTTTGGCTTGTGTAACCATTAACCAATAACCAACCAAGGTAAGACCCCCCCCCCACCTTATCACCTGAATCTCCTCCTAGAGCACCATTGGGTTCTTTTTAACCAAATATCTCTCAGAGGGGCGTGGGGAGTGGCTCCTTATTTTCATCTAAAGTAACAGACAGAGAATCAGCACTTTTGAAACAGGGCTGAAACAGAGGGGTTTATGGGATGCTACAAAGGGTGATCTGTTTGGTATTTCGAGCAAAACACTTCAGAGACATGTTTTGTATATATCTGAGAACTATAATATATTGATGAAAAACAGTACAATAGGGGACCTTTAAATAAGCCTAGCCTTTGTTTCTACATTCATCTGTGAACCAGAACTGACATTTATAAAATGAGATCTTTTCTACCAAATGTATAAGGAGTGTCCTCGTATGACTCGCCACCCGTCAGATTACATGCAGACCACAAGAGACACACACGGGTTGCATTCTGAGACTCACGGGAGACGCAAGAGGAGTTCAACAGCACCATCTACATGGTGAGAGTGAAAACTGCTATCTAATACTTGCTCTTACAGCTGTCAAACCTGTTTTAATTTTATATTTCTCTATCTGAAAATGCATCAAAATATAAATGTACCCAAGATTAATCCAGACTTTGTACATGCATTTAATATCTGTCAATAATGTTAAGTTATATCAATGTTGTAACTTAAAATGTGTGCGTGTGTGACGTGTGTGGTGTTAAAAGGGGCTCTCCACTGATTTTACAGAGATAACACAGCTGCTTACTCAGCAGGGGAGAATACTCAGAACAGCTCTGGTGTGGTTTTTCTGTTTCGTAGTAATGATGTCATAATGTTATCTCTGTTTGGGTGTGGACAACGTTTTACTGAAATAGAAAGCCTGCTTTACAACTAGGGTCGCCAAGTTCGACATTGAGCATGCCAAAATGTTCAGACTTAGATAAAGGAAATGTCTGCTTGTTGCTTCTCTTTCTAAAAATAACTTTGCTTAAAGGGCCCATGTCATGGCCATTTCCACTGATCATAATTACATTGTTGAGGTATACTAAAATAGATTTATACTGTGCAATTTTCCAAACTCACATTGGTTTCGCATACAGCATCTCTGTCAAGCATGTGTATTCAGCAGTATTCACTTTCTCCACTAAACGACTCGTTGGAGCTCTTGCCCCCCCCTCCCTGTGAGCCTAGTGTGCTCCGATTGGTCAGCTCGGCCACTCGTTCTGATTAGTCAACCACCAGAGAGGCTGCGCCCATGTCAGTGCTTTTCCCGGCTGCTCTCAGCGTAACATCAGTCTTATCATGGCGTCGGTACAGCGGTATATTTTATATACATATATATTTTTAACTGTTGTTATAGAAGAGTGTGACGGCCCCAGGGCCTTTGTCTTACGATGGGGTGGAGCTGAAGAGGCTAATCAGCACGATCACGGACACCTCCGGACACAGTCTCTCTCCAAAGCGGCTGCAGGAAGACTAACTCTGCGATCCTCTCAACCACCTATCTCTGCATTTACCACAATAAATGTGCCGTGGTTTTGTAAACTCGTGTATGTCTCCTTGTCTTTCCGTTGTGGCCTACGAGCTACTCTCATAACAAAGAGTAAGTTATTTTTACCCGTTATAAACTACTACTGTTTGATGAGAAATCAAATCATGGTTTGCTATATATGAATTCAGGGAAGAAAGGATAGGCCTACTAAGTATTTCCATTAAACTTTATTTTTAGAAATGTACAAAATGAACATAAATATACATATATACACACGGTATATCATTCATTCCTCCTCCTCGCATCTTGCCTGCGGACAGTCGGTGCGGTGCCTTTTAGCACGAGGCCTCAGTAGTAGTCGAAGTCCCTTCCCCGTCATGGATTGTCCGCCAGGATCTGGCTGGACGAAATCAAATGCAAATCACAAAATATTAGAGAAACTTAGTTGTTTTAGATTCGTTAGTAGTAGTTGTGTAATGAACAGCTTGCCTGCTAATATGCTAACCTAGCTTTGTTTACCTTGGTAGCTAACACGATATGAACGTTAGCTTGGAGGAAAGGCAACTATAATGCAGTGTAATAAAACTACTATGAACAAAAGCTAGTGGTTCATATTAGGCTAGCAATAACGTGTTTATAATTGCAATCGTATACGGGTATTCTGCTACCATACAATGTAACTTGCATGAATACATTGTTTTGCGCTAGCATACAGCTAGCCTCGTTAGCTACATGCAGTATATGTACGGTCACAATGTACGGTAAATCACAGTACAGTATACTGTATGAGTATTCCGTGTGTGTGACTGCAGACATTCTCCTGCCATGACAAACATGTAAGGCCATCTGCTGACATTGTAGTTGATATATTTAAACGCTAGCAACGTAGCATCACAAAAATGTTTTTCCGACCAAAACTAGCTCTAGCTCCGTGTGTTAGATCGCTACGCCAGCTATAATGTAATTACGTTTCGCGACTGACCGGCAAATCACCCGGAGTATACTGTCAATAGGTATTTTGTGTGTGAATGCAGACATTCTCCTGCTATGAGATACATGTATGCAAGGCCATCTGCTGATATTAGAGTTGATATATGGAAACTCTAGCAACTTAGTTAGCACAGTTAGCACTGTGTCAATGGCTTAGCAGTCCAACACAGTTTACACATTTAAACAGTCTTGTTTGATAAATACACAAATAACAATGCAAACTTACAGGTTGTATACCCAGATCTTCCCCTGCTCCAAACGGTCCAAACAAGCTGTGCATATCCGGCCTCAAACTGGGCAATGTTTTGGAAGCTTTCGTCTGTGAAATGCCGGTTCTTCGAACCTCTGGAGGAGGAACACGCCGCTGCTGGTGTGGCCATAGCTCTTCGGGATTGGTCCATTTCGTTCCGGGTACCGCATGACATCAGGCGGTACCCGGAAGAATCAAATGGGCAGTGACGTATCTCCAACGAGGCGTTTTGGGGAGGTATTTTCTGTGTTAGAGTTTTACTCGCTACAGGGTGTACTTTGAGGGTTTTGACTCTGCACACCGTTTACATGCATAAAAACCTTCATAACACACAAGGGGACGGGTAATAACCGGAAAAGCATGACATGGGAGCTTTAAAGAAGGGATACTGCTGGAAATTCCTCAAGTGCACCTTTTCAGCGAACCTAAGTTAAACCTTGAGAAAAAAGTAAACTGTACTGGAAATTCATAAAATTGTTGCTGCTTTAACTCCTGAATTTCCAAACGGGGATAAATAAAGGTCCATCTTATCTTATCTTATCAAATAAGTTCCCTTCTGTAATTTGCTTTACACTAAGCCTTTTTACTCAGTTGATTTGGTTTCATATATTAAAACAATTCCTTACACATCCTCTCTATAGACCAGTCATACTCAACTTACGGCCACGAGCCAGATAGGGTGCATGTTTCTAATTCAAAGTGCAGATTAGACTTGAGCAGAGACAACTATCAGCTAAAGAGGAGCAAAAGCTAAAGAGAAATTTGTATAATTATGATCCTTAAATTTGTATTTACACCAAAATATTTTAAACATGATATTCATTGTGTCCCTAGTAGAACCAGTTTATTTTCATTTGTATGAATCATCCCTACATTTGAGAACATGCATAATGGAACGGGGATCAAGCTTTGTTGACTTTTGTAAAAACTATTTCAAATGTAACCAAAGCATTTACAACTAAAGAAGCTGGAGCTGCAGCTATTAACATATCTCATTTATCTGTCATGTCCTATAGGCCTAGTGAATTTTGGCTCAATCGAAGATTATTAGTAACTATTGGTATCCCTGCTGTAGACTTTCAATGTAAACGTTTTTTCTGATCTGTATAATAAGCTTTATACACCTTTGTTTTCCTGCCATGAAATGTCAAAATGTCTGCCATTTAAAAAATATCTACTAACACCACCTGATCTTTACATGTCATAGGGCAAGACCTCATAATGTTGCCTTCTTATATTCAGAGATAAGGTGTACATGCACTGAGGAGCCAACACCACCAGATGGAGAAAACTAAACACATAATGCTCCCAACACACCTCAAGGAGTCACTGACTGCCGTTCCCAGTGTGTCAGTGAGGTGAACTGAAGCGTGAAAGGGCATATAGAGGCCAAGGTGATAACGGTTATTCTTCCAATAATCCGGTGATAAGAAAGAGAAGCAACGGTTTAAATCTGTTTTACGTGTTAAGTGTTGCTTAAGTGTAAAGCAAGCTACAAAGGCAAGGAGATTTTGTCCGAGCTCGTCCCTAAAATTCAAGATTTTTTAATGCTGGTGACATTGCTGGTAGAAAAACCTCAGAGTTAATGTAAGACCTAAATACAGTTTGATTATTTATCTAGTGTGTGTAGAAAATGGATAAGGGCACATACCTGGAACAAGTTTACACATTCACAATGAGCACATCTTACATTTAAAGGGTAAAACGGGACGCTTAAGGAAAAAACTTTTCCTAGAAGTATGACATATCGCCAGTCGCTCCTCCCTGATAAAAAACATGTGATGCAGGTCAAACAGGCTGACAGGGGAGGGAGGGCGACCTCACTGTCCTCACCTTGCACAGTGCAACAACCATACCAGACGGGAAAAGAAGGAGAAGAGGTTTGTGATATTTTAAAGCTCCTGAGTACTGGTGAATAAAGTCAGTACTACAAACATCTGATGACGAAGGGACCAATGGAGGGGGTTAAGCTACTGGGAATGTGGAATAGAGGAAATACAGAGAAAGAGTCCTGCATGGATCAAGAAATGGAATCTCAGCCATGCAAAAAACTATCCCATTCTATTGAGGAAATACTATGGGGGCCCACATGTGCCAGAAAGGAGAAGAAAGCACATCGTAACTGGTCTGTTATCAAGGAGAACACCAGGATATCTAAGCAGATCTCATGTGCAGGTATGTTGTTTATCACTCTTTTTCTAGTCCAAAAGGACATCATTGTTGATATTAAATATAATGTTTTTCTCTCTGCTATTAGAAACAACACAAATCAGACTACTTGAAGAGTCTCCAAAAGCCACCACGGACAGCATGAGTGAGTATTGTGATTTTTGAAGCCATATGTTTAGTGTTAAAATGATGCTGACGAGGAAGATGTCAGTAACAATAATGTGTTTACAGGTCAGAGGAAAAAGAGGCAAACGCGGGTCACTTTCACCCCGGTCCAGGTGCAGGAGCTGGAGAAAGCCTTCCAGCAGACTCACTACCCAGACGTGAACAGAAGAGAGCAGTTAGCCTCTCGCCTGCAACTCTCAGAGGGACGAATACAGGTAGGACACACAACGCTCATCACGGTTATTTATGTGTGTTTTTGTTTGATTTTTGTTGCATTACTTGTCTTGAAAACTTAGCATGAGTGCAACATTTGTAATGTGATTAGTGAAGGATTTGTTTGTATATGTTACCAAGAATTATCATGGCAGCATTAAAAACAATATACTGACAGTATTGGGAAGCTGCTTTGGAAGCAATTATTTCAACCTGGTAAAAGTTAAAACTACAGCGAAGAAATTAAGTGTGTTTAACTTAAGCTACTTGTAAAAAGTAATACAAACTACTTTGTACAAAAAAAGGTCATGGAATAAATAAATAATAGCCCAAAAGAATCAGCAACTTGAATCACTGCATGTATAAATGTATTTGAATTACAAACAGGCTACAGACAAATTAAACTTGACAAGTAAAGTACTAGTTTACTACTCAACAAATATGTTTAAGGACGGTTTTGTATTCATGTTAAAACATCTGTATATTAAAATTAGACAATATTTAATATTGATTGTTCTGATAACATTTAAATAGCTTCAATCTAGTTCTCCTTGTCCAACTACAGTAGTATCAAATAAGCAAACTATGACAACACATCGTCTTTATTTTGCAACTTGTGTATTGCTGGAAGGAGTCAATAAGTCAAACTGGGGTCACCAACAGTTCAGTGAATTAAAGGTGGGGTAGGTAAGTTTGAGAGACCGGCTCGAGATACACTTTTTGTTATATTCCTTTGACAAAAAATCCATAAAAAAATGTCATCTGTGGAAGCCGTAGTACTGTAAAAAGCACGACCCATCATTTTAGCCGGCCCGGCTAAAATAACTGGATGGCCTACCTGCCTGTCAGCCTTCCATCTGTGCACAAACTTATCTTGTGCCCTCATTGGTCATGTGCGCGTTCGTGTGTGTTGGAGGAGGGGCTCTATAAGGAAGTGGCAGATTTTCTCCGGTCGTGTATTTTCAAATTCTAGCGATGTCGAGCCGGTTTCTCAAACTTACCTACCCCACCTTTAAACAATGGGCTTATTATAATGAATAGTTAATAATGGAACCATGGCAATGGTCTTTGGACAGTTGCTTATATGAAGAAATACCTCCATAACTATTATTGACAATTTCGGTGTAGAAGTTTGTACACTCAAAAAACTGAAACGTTGACTTTAATTACATGTATTATGTCAACAGACTTCACATAACTTTATAAGGATATATGAAAGCAATAACATTTTCTATTTTAACTTTACTAATATTATTGCTTTCAACTAACCTAATACAGTTATGTATAATACATTTCATTAAAGTTAACCTTTCCGTTTTTCTGTGTACTATGATTCAATGATAATGCATGCTCAGAGGAGAATAATAATACATGTGTTACTTTTGGTACTCTGCTACATATTTATGGCTAAGTTGTGAGTATGTCATAGATACATTTATGTGACATGTTGTTTGTGCTGAAGATTTGGTTCCAGAACCGCAGAGCCAAACGGAGGAAAGCAGAAACTCTGAAGGACATAGAACTGATGAGCAGCCGGCCTGCAAGTCATCCCCTGCTTTATTTTGAGGTAACATCACATTTCATATATTCATCACAATAATATTCCCATAATGAGTGCTTTAAACTCAAAATGAAGCTTACGTTATTTACAAAGAAAGAGAGAAACAGGGTCGGGACATTTTTAAACATACATTTAAAAAGGTGAAAGAGATCAAATAACAACGTTTCAAAAGTAATATGATGGAAAATGACATTAAATTGTCATATTTAAAATTAAAATTAAATTAAAACCCATATCTTACCACGAGCTCCTGTGAACATTATAATTTAAATGTATTTAATTTGGCCCATAATTAAAGTAGCTCTTGTAATTTTCTTTAGCAATTGTCTTATTATATTATTTTTTAACTTTCACATTATGCCCTTGTTTAAATGTGTTGCATCTCTGGTATGAAAACTTTATTAGATATATATGTCAATCTTTTTTACATACAGAACAATATCATTTAATTGACTAGAATAGTGATTAGTGATTGTATTGGTTCTTTGAGACATCTTCTCATCAGTATGTATGTCCCCCCCCCCCCCAGGCGCTACAGAAGCCCCCGCTGCAGGCAGTGTGCTGGCTGCCGTGCTGCCTCCCTGAACCTCTTCAGTCAGCGCTGTTCCCCAGAGCAGCTCCAACAGCCCCCTTGCTGACCAACACACATTCCCCAGGTCACAGGACTCTGTATTTTGACCCGCTGGGGACCAACAGATAGCAGTACTCGATGACATTATTGTGTTAAAGTGTTTTTAAATGACGTGGTACAAAGATCATAATGAGCTTTGATACATCATTTGCTGGATTTATAACCCAAACTCTACTGTAATCTGTAAAATATAATAACTGTTTATTGATGAGCTTTAATTGTCATGTGTGTTGTATATACTGTGTTGACAACATGAAATGAACTTGTTTTTTTATTTTTCTTGTAAAGTTGAATCATAAAATGAATATTCTGGCTGAATACTGATAACAGTTGGCTTCTTTATAATAAATAATTATAATAACCTTTTGAACTGTTGTATTGAAGTCAAGGTTTGAGGGTACTCAGCACTGCAACGTGCTTCTTGGTATTGAGCTGCTGTGTTATTCTGCAGGAGAGATTTTCGCATGACACCACACTTCCTTGTCAGAGATAAGATACAGCACCGCTCATAAACTTATCATGTTTGACTTTCTGAAAACCTTCCTTATCTTAATTTGGCCTCGTAAATCTGGGTTATTGGCAGGTCAGCTGGGGGAGCTTGTTGAATAGGATCAAAGTGGAAACATCGGCTGAAGGGACTGTTTGTAGGTGTTGCATAATAATTGTAATTTATAGTAAGAATACGAAAGACTGCACATATGCAGTGCTGTAAAAGTAGCTATCTGCTAAGTACATTTACTCAAAAGTTAAAGTCAAAGTCAAAGTCAGCTTTATTGTCAAGAATTCTACATGTTCTACATCCAGAAATCTCGAAATATCGTTTCCCGCAGTCCTACAGTGTGACATATATACATCAAACAAAAAACAAAAAGGGCCTAGATAAACGGGGTATACATTAAACAAAACAAAGTACTGTACTTAAGGCAAGGCAAGGCAAGGCAAGTTTATTTATATAGCACCTTTCAACACAAGGCAATTCAAAGTGCTTTACAAAAATGGAAGACATTAAGAAAATGGCATTTAAAATCAGTCATTAAAAAGAAAAGATAATAAAATAAACATTAAAAGAAAAAATACATGGATAAAAGTTACAGTGCAGTTTAAGATGTGAATAGTTCAATTAAAAGCAGCGGCAAAAAGAAAAGTCTTCAGCCTGGATTTAAAAGTAGTAAGAGTTGCAGCGGACCTGCAGGTTTCTGGGAGTTTGTTCCAGATATTTGGAGCATAATAACTGAATGCTGCTTTACCATGTTTAGTTCTGACTCTGGGGACAGAAAGCTGACCAGTCCCTGAAGACCTGAGAGTTCTGGATGGTTCATAATTTAGCAGTAGGTCAGACATGTATTTTGGGCCTAAACCATTCAAAGCTTTACAAACCAGCAACAATATTTTGAAATCTATTCTTTGACACACAGGAAGCCAGTGTAAGGACTTCAGAACAGGAGTGATGTGATCCACTTTCTTAGTGTTAGTGAGGACTCGAGCAGCGGCGTTCTGAATTAGCTGCAGCTTTCTAATAGATTTTTTAGTGAGACCTGTAAAGACACCATTACAGTAGTCGAGTCTACTGAAGATAAAAGCATGGACAAGTTTTTCCAAATCCTGCTGTGACATTAGTCTTTTAATCCTAGATATGTTCTTTAGGTGATAGTAGGCTGATTTAGTAACTGTTTTAATGTGACTGTTGAAACTCAGGTCAGAGTCCATGACTACACCTAGATTTCTGGCTTTATCTGTAGTTTTGAACATTGCAGACTGAAGCTCAGCGCTAACCTTTATACGTTCTGCCTTGGCTCCAAAAACCATTAACTCAGTTTTATCTTTGTTTAATTGGAGAAAGTTCTGACACATCCAGTCATTGATTTGTTCAATGCACTTACTCAGTGTTTGAATTGGAGCATAATCTCCTGGTGAAATTGTTACGTAAATTTGTGTGTCATCCGCATAGCTATGGTAACTTATTTTGTTGTTTTTCATTATCTGAGCCAGTGGTAGCATGTAGATGTTAAAGAGAAGAGGCCCCAAGATGGAGCCTTGAGGTACCCCACATGTCATATTTGTCAACTCAGATGTGTATTTACCTATAGAAACAAAGTTTTTTCTGTCCTTTAAGTAGGACTCAAACCAATTTAGAACTGTTGCCAAAAGTCCCACCCAGTTTTCTAGTCGGTCTAGTAATATGTTGTGGTCAACAGTGTCAAACGCAGCACTGAGATCTAATAATACTAACACTGAAGTTCTGCCACTGTCTGTGTTTAAGTGGATGTCATTGAAGACCTTTACAAGAGCAGTCTCAGTGCTGTGGTTTGGACGAAATCCTGACTGGAACACATCCAAAGAGTTATTTAAATGCAAGAAGTTACTCAACTGTTGAAAAATGATTTCAATGATTTTACCTAGAAATGGCAGGTTTGATATGGGCCTTCATTACTGAAGCATCTAGATTATTCTTTTTTAAGAGCGGTTTAATGACTTCAGTTGTCAGGCCCTCTGGAAAAATACCTGAGTGAAGAGATGTGTTTACTATACAGTATGAAGTAGATCTGAGGCCATGCAATGAAAAACATCTTTGAAAAATCCTGTTGGAATAATATCAAGGCAGCAGGAGGAGGATTTCAGAAGTTGAAAAATGTCCTCTAAGTTTTTATCATTAATCTGATGGAATTGTGTCATGGTGTTTGAATTGATATTAGGTGGACATAGGGACAACACATTTGCTGTACCTGATGCAGAGACACTGACTGCTTGTCTAATTTTCTGAATTTTGTCAGTGAAGAAGGAGGCAAAATCATTGCATGCCCTGGTGGATAGAAATTCAGAGGCCACTGACACTGGGGGGTTAGTTAGTCTGTCGACGGTAGCAAACAAGGCACGTGCGTTGTTTTTGTTTTTGGTAATGATGTCAGAATTTTGAGGTATTTGTACTTTACATGAGTATCTCCGTTTTCTGCTACTTTGTTCTTCTACCCCACTACAATTCAGCAATAAATATTGTACTTTTACTCCACCACATATACTTAATACCTTTAGTTACTTTGCAGATATGGATTAATTATGTAAAATATAATCAACACTTAAATAAGACATTAGTTACACCTGTACTAAATTAACAAACTACCGAGCAGTAAATCCAAATAATACGAATGGTTCCACCTTTACCAGCTTTTATAAACATATCAATGCATCAAAAATTATAATCAAAACAAATAATATATAATTCTGAAATGGACCACTCTGCACAATGAGTACTTTGACTGTTGGTACTTTAAGTATATTTTGATGCCAATACTTCTGTACTTTTACTTGATTAAGATTTTGAATGCAGGACTTTTACTTGAGTGTTCCTACTTTTACTGAAGTACAATATCTGAGTTCTTCTATCTCTGCACATATGCAAAGGACTTCATCTCACTCCTTGAGTGTCTTGGTATTACACAATATGTCAATTTTCCAACCCACAACAAAGGTCACATATTAGATCTAGTCTGTTGCACCGGTGTCACTCCTTTTAACCTCACTGATGCTGAGTTCCCCATCTCTGACCATAAATCTGTGCTTTTTGAGGTAAATGTCCCCCTATCTAAAACAAGAGCACTGCGGACCATTACCTTCAGAAACATCAAACGCATTGACCCCAGAGACCTTAACTCCCTTATTACCTCCGTGCCCAGTCCACCCCCATCCTCCTCCTCAACCCCTGCTGAACTGGTGAGTCACTACAACAACTGTCTCGCATCTTCCCTGGATGCGCTGGCTCCCCTGAAGTCTCGCATAGTCTCATTTGTGCACACTGCTCCCTGGTACACTGCTGCCCTCCACCAGCTAAAAACCACTGGCCGGCGTCTTGAACGTCTGTGCAAAAAGACTGGACTCTTAATCCACATACAGCTCTACAAAGAACATCTCTGCCTTTACAAGAACGCCCTCACCACCGCTAAGTCCTCCTACTACTCCAACCTCATCAGTTCTGGAAAAGGTAACACGAGAAACCTCTTCTCAACCGTCAGACACCTACTTCAACCGCCCACAACTCTCCCCACAGACATCTCATCTGATGACTGCAATGACTTTCTGAATTTCTTCACTAGCAAAATCAACACCATCCACCTGCAACTGGCTGCATTTAGCACCTCCAAAGACGACCCACAGTGGCTGAGCTCCACCAGTCACCAGCTAATCCCCACCCTGTCCAATTTTTCGACAGCTACTGAGTTCTCCATCACTGAGCTCATCCGTAAATCCAAACCTACTACATGTCAGCTTGACCCACTCCCCACTGCCCTCGTTAAAGCCTGTATGCCCTCTACTTACCCCTTGATCACAAGAATCATTAACTCGTCCCTCGCAACTGGAACTGTACCGCCAAACCTCAAAACTGCTGCAATAACACCAACACTCAAAAAACCTGGAGCTGACCGAGATGACCTGAATAACTACAGGCCCATCTCTAACCTCTCCTTCATCTCAAAAACCCTTGAAAGAGTGGTTGCTGACCAACTTCAACAACACCTGGACAAAAACAACCTTCATGAACCCTTGCAATCGGGTTTCCGCTCAAAGCACAGCACCGAAACAGCGCTGGTAAAAATCACCAACGACCTCCTCCGTGCAGCTGACTCTGGACTGCTCACCATCCTAATCCTCCTTGACCTCACAGCTGCCTTTGACACCATCTCGCACCCACTGCTTATCAAACGCTTGGCAGACATTGGGATCACTGGTACTGCACTCTCATGGTTTTCATCCTACCTCACAGACAGAAAACAATATGTCCGTCTCAGCACCCACCGGTCAAGCTGCTCCACTGTCTCACATGGTGTTCCTCAGGGGTCAGTATTGGGTCCACTCCTGTTTATCATCTACCTACTCCCCCTTGGCACTATCCTCCGTCATCACAATGTCCATTTCCACTGTTACGCCGATGATACACAGGTCTACATTTCCAGCAAACCCAACACTGCCCTCCCCCCAACCTCTCTCACCAACTGCCTCCAGGACATCAGGAACTGGATGAGCAGGAACTTCCTAAAGCTCAACGGCAGCAAAACCGAAGCCCTGCTGGTTGGCACCAAACCACCCTCTCCAAAACCTCATCCTCCCCTGCCTCCAACCTCATCATTGATGGCTACTCCATCCCCTTCTCTGGCCAAGTTAAGAGCCTTGGTGTCATCCTGGACAGCTCCCTCTCATTTTCACCTCACATAAATAACATCACCCGGACTGCCTTCTTCCACATACGCAACATCTCCAGACTCCGCCCATCCCTTTCTCAATCAAACACT